TTTATCCACTGAACAGGTATAGGCAGTGGTATTGAAAGCTTTCCCTCACATCTCTGCCTCCACTGTTGGGTAGCTGCTTAGTATTCTTGGGTTTTCTGGTCTTCTAAGGGGAGGTGAGGGAAAAGACGCTTATGCTAGTGATTTTCATAGCTGGTTTTAAAAGAGAAGTAGCCTGTGTCGGGTCATCAGAGAAATCTGGAGGGCAGAAAGTATACTGACAGAAGAGGCTGCTGCTGTTTGTACCTGTCCTCCTCATACACATGAAGCAGCTCATGGAACAGATAGTTCTCACTTTGGATAAAAAGCAGTTTTTAATTTTCCTTGTGTGTTTTCGATGAGCAGAGTTAGCAGAATTCTGAATAATGGTGGGGAAACTCTTGGTGAGGTTGGCCAACAAAATGCCTTTTTGTACTGCTTTTAACTTGCAACATTATTAGCCTTTCTTCATAGACAGGCTTTGCCAAGTTTATACAGATCAAGGAGGCTTACCAAGCTCAATCTGAAAAATACAGTACTTTAAAATATGAGGGTAAATGGTAGAATTGAGTATCGTAAGGTTTTCGCTCAATACCTCAACTAGCAAAAATGTTATGAGGTAGGTAAAATACCAGAATTCAGGGTGGGGGCAACACATTCAGAGCAGGAGATGTTGGTAATTAGTTTCATAAGTGGAGATAAATATGGTACAGTAGAGCAGATGCAGCTGGAAAACGGCAACAGAGCGTGCTCAGAAAAACTGAAGGCAAAAGGCTAAAGATGTAAGTACTGGCTGCCGCAGTTTCTGTTGTTGTCGAGCACATTAATATTCCAACCCAGTGAGAATTAGAATCGGTGGACCAATTTCTAATTTCATGCTCATATTCATGCAAACCTCATGAACCTCAGAAGAATTGTACACACATGACAGCAATAAATTAATTAAAACCTGGAGTTTGAACTGGAAATACTGTATTATAGAATGAGTAATGGCTTAATTTTTAATTTTGTGTTCATAAATAACTACAAGTTTCACGAAATGGCTGTAATGTGCTTAGTGCATGTTGTGCGTCTGGTTTTTTAGCCTGATTTCTTAATGAAATGAGGCTGATGCAATCGCTCTGCCTCTGTCATTCTCCCTTCCAATGGCTTTTGAACTTGGTGGCACATTTCAGCGACATTTAACAGAGAGGTAGAAGTCTCGAAGCACTTTAATCATTAGGTCTTTCATGAATGTAGAAAGCTGGGTAAAGGAAAAAGGTTGTATTCCTCCTCCTACTGAGAGGCACATAGTATCTTCTATGATATGTGAACGTGGAGCCTCAAGATGCAACTTTGTACCCAAGAAAGCTGTGTGACATCTGCCTCCTTGCCCTTTACTTGAGAGGTATATGAGTAAGGGAGGGAGCCCAGAGGGCTGCGAAGCATTTAAGAACTTCCTCATCAGAGAAGATAAAGGTCAATACTATGGGGAGCGGTCTCTGACTTTATGAAGGTCAAACGACCCTGCAAGATAAGGCACTAAAAGGCAATGGAAGTGTGCCGTTTGGTTTGAACTGGGTTTTACACTAGTGCTCTCCTGCAGCATGGCTGCGAAAAGCAGGCACTTGGCGAGGATGTGAAAGCAGGGAGAGTACTAGTACTACTGCCTGCAGTTCTCAGTGCAGCTGCACAGGAGGAAATGGGGGTTTTGTGGTGAAAGGCCAATGCTGTGAAGTTACGAGGTGCTTTAGGAAAGGAAGGGAGAAAAAGAGAGATTTTACCAGCAGGTCTATGAATATGCACCTGATATGCGTATACTTTAAAAAAGAAGAAATGAATAGTGCTGAGACTTACTGTCTTAATCTAGGGCAGGTGTTTACTTCCTAGACACTTCACTTTGCTGATTTTCACATATGTGTCAGATGCAGAAGTGTTGCTTCTCCTCGTTCCAGCAAATACTGATTTCCCCATCCTCTCCCCAGCCTGACCGTGGGATTCAACAAAACAGCAGCTGAGCACCCTTTGCCTGTTGGTCTGTCCCTGAATTGCCTGGCTGTCCTACATGGGCAGAAATGCAGAAAAGAATTCCTGGGTTAAGATTAACTTCTAATTATCTTAAAAAGTCAAATACAATTAAGTGAGGGATTGGCAAAAGTGACACTGGCAGGTTCTGTATCCAGCATTGAAACTAGAAGGATCAGACAACAAGACTAACCCATTTTTTAGTTGATCCCTGTCCACTTTAAGAGGAAGTGTAAGTAAACCAGATGTGCTTTATGGAGCAATTGAGCAAACGCGTCCTCAAAAGGTGTCAGAGCGGAACCAGCTATGCTTTGGGTGCTGTTCTCTTTACCCTGTAGCAATACTGGTAAGACTTGCAGTCCCCAGATGCACAGGGGTGCGGTGAGCCCAGGTGAGGTGCACGAGGTGGCTGTGCCGTGTTGCCAGCCAGAGCCATGCAGCTCTGGAGTCCCGCCAGAGCAAGACCGGTACCCAGCATGTGGGGCAGGGCATGGGTGCATGAGTGATAAATCCTGTTTTCCACGCGTAATGAAGCCGGAGAAGCAACATGCTGCAATGTCTCCAGCTTCCTGTCTGGTATAGAAGGGATGTATCCTTTTGGGTCCATAATACAGCAACGTCCTTAATGTAAGGGACAAATACCAGAGTGCTCCAGACATTGTTCAAAGCAAAGAGGCCATGGAAGTGGAGCCCAAACCATTTTATTTGAGGATAATACTTGACATTTCTATTCTTCCTCGTGCTGTTTGTATGTGCTTTGGGCCCTTGTCCGGAAGGGGCCAAGCTGTGCATTGAAAGGCAGTAAGTACTGGTCTAATGACTGATAGACACAGTCATCAGCAAAGCTGCTTGTACATGGCTGTACAGGAGCCAAGTAGGGATTCAAAAAATAGTTGGGGGTGTGGGGGCAGGGAGGGAGATTGTTCTTTTCTGGTTTGTTTGAACTGGTTTTTGAGAGAAACCAGATGAAGAGAATGAGACTGATCTTGGACGTGAAGAACTCGGTGTTTAATGTTTGGCAGTACTTAATACAATGACCTGAAGAATGTGCCAGTGGAAAAGATAAATGAGCCCATTGCTGTGTTAGGGAGTCAAACACCGAACACCATGGCTACCTCCCATACGGTACATGTGAATGCTGGTGGGGTGTTTTGGCTGTATGACTGTACCCTGCAACCCTTTGGGGAGGGGAGAGGAAGGAGGCCTCCACTTGTTTCCTTTTAAACACAAGTCTCTGCTTCCCAACAGCTGTTCTTAAAGTAATTTATTAGTGGAAGAATGTTTCTTCCATTCTTACAGAAAAACACTGGGAGAATTTAGATTCTTTATCATAAGCTTCGATATCGGCTTATTCAACTTGCTTTGCTTTGCTTTCTGTGGGAGGCACAATAGTGGCTCTATTGAAACAGACTTTTTTTTTTCCTCTCTAACGTGCTTCTGAAGTGGGTGAATTACTAATGATGCAAATAGATTTTAATTGTGCAAAAGCTAGACAGCCTGTGCCTAGAAAGGCAGTACCTGATTTGTAGAAGAGACGGTAGAAAACAAGGTTTCACAAGTAAAATTGCTGTTGAGTTTTATAAATAGCACCATACTGTAAGCATGTGGCAAATGAAAATGGTTTGGTTCCTCACAGCTGGCAGGTACTTTATTTTGGGGCATTTGGAACCTCTGCATCGCCTTTGGATGCTTGACTTGTCAAAAGTGTTTGTTACGATCTACTGGTTGGTGTGGTCATTTGCAACACTTGTAAAAGCTGAGCATAAATACTGTCAGCAAGGTTTGGCTGTGGCAGAAGATCAAGGTCATGCTTTTATTTTTTGGGTGAGATGTTGAGGCTGTGGTTTGACAGCCTGGTTGGCCTAGTTGTAGGGCTTCTAAGTACCCAACGGGTCAAAAAGACCAGTGCCAGATAACGCTGGGTTTGGAATAAACTCAATCTGGTGGCTTGGTAAATACATTTTACTGGGTTAACTTTGTGCTGGCAGGATTCGTATTGGATCAGGCTTGTCTGTCTAAGCTACTAAGCTGCTTTCTGCTGGTTTAGGCATCGCCCGTCTTTCTGCACCTGGTATCAATATGGCACATGCTCAGAGTTAAGTGCTCTGGCTAATTCAGTGGAATCAAGATTCTGCACCAAAGCCCTTTCCAGGTCAAGTTTGTACTGCTACATAGCCTAAGGTTTTTCTATTATTTTACTTTTTTTCCCCCACACTAACTGGTATATTTGATCATGGAACAGTGGCTTGACAAAGTGAGAAGTTACTAAACTTGTTCCAGCATGGAGTTTGGATGTGGGAATACCTAATTTCCATTTCCATGCCTTAGTGTTTGCCAGACTGATGCTCTGTGTGACCAGCCCTGCTCTTTTCATCCCAAAATTTGCTGCAGGATGAAGAGCCTGCTCCCCAGATGGACTGCTGTACTCTTCTAGTCAAAGCAAACGCGTAACAAAGTCTCTGTAGCCCCTGGCAGCCGTCGCTCGATGCATGTTTGGGAGAAGTGTGTACAGAGCGGTGGCTTTGAAGGCAGGCCAGGAAGGCAGCGGTTTGTTTACGCAGCTCCAGAGGCACGGCATGCCATTTATTGGGTGCAGGGGGCTGAGGCTGCTGTTGCAGTTCAGGGACAGCAACCCCTGAAGGTACAGCAGTCATGGTGCAGCTTGTTTACCGATCGGGGCTCGACTGCTTCACTGTGAGTGCAGGGGTCTGTGTTCCCCCCAGCATTAAGTCCAATTATATGATCTTTGTTTGAAGAGAAGTGTGAGATTCATCTTCAGCAAACAATAATCTTAGTGGCTGTAAATTGCAAATAATGATTCCTTCCTATTTTTGGAAGTGATTTGCATCATCGACAGTTTATTGTGTGAAGACCTGAATGAGGCAGGCTTGGAGAGCAGAGTGTTTATTGGGTTGGGTTCCTGTTGGTGAGGTGGCGTGGAGTGTTTCAGGGCTCCCACTTTGCCCTTCCTCGGGGCTTGTAAATCCAGTCTCCATTTTATTCTTTTCTTTCTCTTTCAGGACAGTTATTCTGAGTGACAGCCCTTGCACGCGCTTCTGAGTGGTTATCATGGGCTTCATTGCCTTTCTGAAGACCCAGTTCATAGTTCACCTCCTCATTGGGTTCGTCTTTGTTGTGAGTGGACTGATCATTAACTTCATTCAACTATGCACGCTAGTCCTCTGGCCCATAAACAAGCAGTTTTATCGCCGAGTAAACTGTCGCCTTGCCTATTCGCTTTGGAGCCGTGAGTATGCTTGAAGGGGACGTGAGGGCTGGGGGTGGGGAGGGGCATGGGTTTTGTTTCTCTTTTTGTTAATTAAAGAAATTGTATATGTATACACACAGACACATGAGAGAGAGAGAAGTGCTAAGTTCGAGGTAGACTCAGAGCAGTTCATAGCAGCCATCTTTTCTGAAATACTGGGAAAACATACAAAACTCAAGTGACTGATACATATTGTCGCTCTGTTATTTAAAAGAAGGGGGAAGTAAAGCTCCTCCCCACCCCCAACCCTATCTCAACTGGTAGGAAATTGCTGATTCTGTCTCAGTACCATCTTCATCCTGCATTGGAGCCTGTGCTAAGTGATGGGGAAGGGGGAATTCACAGAGACTGCTTCAGGTATTGAGCATACATGTGATATTGACCACTTACTTAGGAACTGTCGTGGTTTAACCTCAGCCGGCAACTGAGCACCACACAGCTGCTCGCTCACTCTCTCCCCTGCCCCCAGTGGGATGGGGGAGAGAATTGGAAGAGCAAAAGTGAGAAAACTCATGGGTTGAGATAAGAACAGTTTAATAATTGAAATAAAATAATTATAATTATAATAATAATAGAATATATAAAGCAAGTGATGCACAATGCAATTGCTCACCACCCGCTGACCGATGCCCAGCCAGTCCCCGAGCAGCAGCCCCCCCGGCCAGCTTTCCCCAGTTTATGTACTGAGCATGACGTCACATGGTATGGAATGTCCCTGGGGCCAGTTTGGGTCAGCTGTCCTGGCTGTGCCCCCTCCCGGCTTCTTGTGCACCTCCAGCCTTCTCAGTCGGCAGAGCATGGGAAGCTGGAACGTCCTTGACTAGTGTAAGCACTGCTCAGCAACAACTAAAACATGGGTGTGTTATCAACAGTGTTCTCCTCCTAAATCCAAAACACAGCACTGTACCAGCTACTAGGAAGGAAATTAACTCTATCCCAGCCAAAACCAGGACAGGAACCCAAGTTGACTGTGTGGTCTGCAGAGAGATGTCTGTCTTAAAATATCTAGTGTAGATGCCTCTATAGCTGAACTGTATGACAACTTCAGAGTCCTCTTACACCCTACAGTGTCCATCTGTGACGCCAGTGTCTCCTCCTGTGAGCAATTTGTCGCTCTTTTCTTCTTCTGCCGGTGGAACAGCTCTACAGTGAATGCAGCTGCTTTGCTCTCCTCTTTCAGACCTTTGCAAAACTTCCTCCCCGTGGATGGCTTCTTTTTTTTCCCTCCTCATGCAGCTTAACAGGGGATTAGATTTCTGAAATGAATGTTTAGAAGGCTCCTTAGTCCAAATGTCACCTCCTGTTTCAGCAGTGAATCATCTAATTTGTTTCCATTCTCCATCCCCTCCCAGTATGCACGGCCACTTACCTTAGTGCTCAGCTCAGCATCCAGCTCCCACTTTGGGTAAATGAGTCACCTGAATGAGTACTTAAATTACAGTTGAGCGATACACTGACAGGCACCCACATTTCTTAAATCATTGAGGTGAAGTACTACTGACAAAAACTCTCCAAAGTATCTAGCTTGGTTTCTTTTTAAGCTGGTTGTCCTTCCTGTGCTTTTTGTCCTACCTATTGAGAATGTTGCCTGAGAAGCACAGGAGAGAGGAAATTAAATAGACAGTGGCAAGCAAACTGTCAGGAGAAAAGGTATTGTAATAGAAGAACTTATAGGTAGAAACTTCAAAATTAGCTTGGTTGGAGGGAGGTGGGGGTATAATGGGATTTTTTTTTTTTTATTTGCTTCTAAGAATTTCTTAATGCGCTTTTAATAATCTAGAATCTGATCTCATCCTGAAAACTATTGTTGCACTATAGTCTGGCTTTTCTGAGGATATGAGCTGCTTGTGCCTGTAAGGCTTACAGGTTCAGACCCTTGATTTCTACAAGTTAGCACTGTGCATGGAAAAATCACCTTTTAAATGCTGTTACCTTGTATCCACTGGAAATAACCTACACTGTTGTTCAAAAAGGTTTGGAGAAGCTGAGCAGATAATTGGGTTGTACCTAGGATAACCCCTTGTGTATAGCCTATTATAAAGTAAATGATTGAGAAATTAAACTATGAAAATTAACGTAAATGTTATATGGGATTGCAGAGTGCTGATGGCCTGTAATGGAAGAGCTGACAGAATATGCACTTCAATTGTGATTTATAACGAATTAAGTAAGCCGTGTAAATGCAGCAGTTCAAATGTTGCCATTCATAATGAAATTATGAAATTATGATTTCATTACGTGGAAGCCTTCTGGCAATGAACCTGTAGGTTGGTGTTCTGTTCTGGATGCTACGTTTTGCTCGCTTACTTCAAGCTGTTTAGTTTTAGGCTGAGGGTGTCTGTGTGAGAGCTATCTATAACAGAAGCTGCTCTGCCCATCCGGTGTGCAGGGGTAGATACACAGGTGATCAGGTATCTGGCTATGTACTATAGCCCACTGAAAATCAGGCTGTGTTCTTACTGTGTCTCTTCTCAAATACATAAAGCATGGCTTCAGAAGGGGAAGGAGACAGACTCTATCCAGTGTTCGTGGCAGACGTTTGGGGAAAAAACGTCTGTCGGGCCCTGGCCTCAACGTAAACCCTTTGCAGCGCATGTGATTCATGACAGATAGTCTGTACTTCAAGCTCTCCTACCTCAGCTCCTTTCAGATGACTCACGTCTTTGGAGAGCGCAGCGCATTTGGTTTAGTCTGGTTGCAAAAATAATCTCTCAAATGTTAGTACTTCAAACTGAGAGGTGCACTGTGCCTCTTGTTTGCTTTGTTTCTGGGTGGCTTGCAAGACCGTAAACCCGCCTGCTTCGGTGTGTGGGAACTCCGGCCGCAGGAGGGGGTTTGTTGTAGCAAGGTGTTGCTTGTCCTCTACAGGAAGTATCCCAAGCAGCGCAAGTGTTATCATCCCTTTGTTCAGAAGGATGGGCTTGCTGTAGCATCAGCAGGATCAGCGCCACACAAAATAGCTGTAACCCACACACCAAAAAAAGGAAATGAGCCCACTCCTGGTTATAATTACATCATTTATCAGTACACTTGTAAAGGACAATCTGTTTCCTCGTATTAATTCTCTGGCTCATCAACCCTCCTCTCTCAGTATGAACTCTGGCAAATCTCTCAGCAAAGCTTCCTCCACTATTTTAGAGTGAATGGTACAAGAAATGCTCTGCAGAAAATCATCCACACCTGCCTCTGCAGATTTTTTTTCTGATTTTGAAGAAGAAACACACCCATTTTGTTTTATTTTTTATAAGAAAATGTAGCGACTGTAGCAGGTACTGGAGATGTTCCTCCTTTAGTACATAAACAGCAATGGAAAGGGAAAATCGTTCAGAGTACCACACTACGTTTGGCACCACTACTCCATTCTCCTGGCCACCTGCTTGAATAGCACAGTTCTCAACTGAGGACACTCTTGCTGTCCTCTTTCCCCTTTTACTGAGCCAGGATAACCAGAGCAAGAAGGGTAAGCGATCACATCATTTGCAAAGGAGACAAAGCTGGAAAGCAGTGATAGAAACCTCTAGTTGGTATAAACTGTTATTCTGTCTTTCCTCTGCTGTATTTCCAGTTTACCAGGGTTACGCGCTCTTGATCGGCATGTTGCATAACTTTGTCATGCCTCCAAATGAGTGAGTCTTGAAAATGATACAGGGAAATAACCTGGCGGATAAGTGGTCACATGGGAAATATAAGTGGAGAAACTAGTGCTAGAGAAGCTATGTATCTTCAGCAGACCAGGACTGGTTTTCCCTATCATTCACCCAAATACTGTGTTTGCCTTCTCTCTAATGTGTTCCAAAATTGCACCCACTCTTATTTAGCAGCATGGATAGATTACCCTGTCGTGATCCCACTGATCAGAAGCCCTTGTGCAGGAGGGCGCTGCTCCATTTTGCAAAACCAGGGCCTCTCGATGGAAAGCTAAAATACTGCATGGCAGAACCTGGTGTAGAGAACCGAGGGGGCACCTTCCAGTTTTGACCCTGCAAGTTTGTCATAGTAATGTGGGAAGAGTTGGACTTTTTAACTGCTATATTTGTGCAACCGAATTTTGATTGCATCCATATCTCATTGAAATGAGAAAGTACCAGTGACTACAGCTTGCATGGAAGCAAATCTTCCTACTGGGAGAATGAACTATTCTCATACTTTTTATAGTTGTCCCATGATACAAGCAATGCCTTCCATCTGCCTGGTTGTACTGAAATGAGAGAAATAGGCTAACCATAGCAACTACATTCAGTGCATGCTGAATTTAAGTAGAAGGGTTTTTTTAAGATGAAAAAAGGGGAGGTGGAAAATAAGAAGAGTGGGTAACGAAGGGAATGTCCAGGGTGGAGTAAGAGAGATACTGGGATATTGAGAAGCTGGAGAAGACAGAGGAGAAAGGGCTCATTCTTTCTTCTGCAGTAAAAGAAAGACACAATTTACCATTCCTGGCTTTGCCTGGATATTTTGATAAATTAGCTCGATTCTCTGGTGCTTCTGACTCTGTGTTGATGACCATAATACAGAACGATTAGAGTCGTGTGTTCTAATATTAAAATCTATTGCAGAAGATCTATGGCACTGTATGCCTTTAAAAGCCCTTTATTGGTCTGTTTACCTCCATAAAGCTTGTTTCATGTTGAGTAAAGGCATTAGGCTGCATCTATGCATAATTTGTATTCCACCTGGGAGAAACTGTACTCATTTAGTGGAGCAATCAACGGCTCAACTGTCTGTTTTCATGCACAAACTTTTGGGTTTTTTTCCAGTGATCATGGAAGTTCACAGTCATAATATAATGCCCAAATTTGCAGCGTTAAAAACTTGTTAAATTATCCATAATGCATATATCTAGTGCCCTAAATACTGCTTAAGGATGGTAATGTTGTTTGGTCTATACCTGTCTAAGCTCTCATTTCATCTCTACGGGGTTGGATTGAAAAGGTGACAGTGGTGTTGGGAGTCAGAAGAGACTAGGCACTGAATGGGGCTGGAGGTGCAATGCTAAATGCTTTCTGTAAGCGGCACCCCTAACTCCTCTCTCCATCTTCATCGTGTTTGTCAGAGTTGGTAATGCTGCTGGAATGGTGGTCAGGCACAGAGTGCACCTTGTTCTCAGACGAGGCCACGGTGAACACCTTTGGGAAAGAACACGTCATCATCATCTTGAATCACAACTTTGAAATTGACTTCTTGTGCGGCTGGACTATGACAGAGCGCTTCGGAGTGCTAGGGGTACGTGGGGCCATGAGCTTTCCCTTCATCTGGAGGACTATAGGTCTATTTAAAACCCATGCACATACAGTTTCTTTGCATTTGAGTTTCCAGATATAACTCCATCAACCCTTCGTCACCTTAACTTTAATGTCTTTGTTTGATCTCATTGTACAAATCAGCAAATGACATTTTTGGATTGTCACTTTTGTTTTTCTCCAAGAGTTCCAAAGTTCTTGCTAAGAGAGAGCTACTATATGTGCCCCTAATTGGCTGGACGTGGTACTTCCTTGAGATTGTTTTCTGCAAAAGGAAGTGGGAAGAAGACAGAGATACGGTTATTGAAGGACTAAAACGTTTGGCTGATTATCCTGAATATATGTGGGTAAGTGTCGAGTTCCTCCTCTAGTATCGACTGCTAGAAGTGGAATGGTGATGGAGATACTGATGTGGTACTGTAGCCTTATATATCAGGGGAGGGACTGCTCACTACTTTCTTCAAGTGTCGCCAAGGAAAACCCGTGCTCTGTTTCAGGAGCTTTTGGGATATGCTGGTGAAGTGTTGCTCTGTTTGCCTGTTGGTAAGGGAAGTCATTTGGGAAACGGTTCAGAAGCTTGCATAGATGATTACAAGCTTGACGATAATTTATAAATCAGGCTTGTGTAATACTTGTTAATTTTGTCTGAACTTATTTTTACCTTTTTAAAAAAAAAACAATAACAGCCCATATTTGACTCTAAATCTATGTAACCTTAAGCTACGTTTTCTGACATAGGCTAAAAAGACACCTAAACAGCAAAGTTTTTTCTGGAGAAGTGAGTGAATTGGGGCCGGGGGGGCAGGATGCACAGACCATGGATTTTGATAGGAAGTTCTTGTTAGTATGTTCATTGATCTGTGAAATGACAGGTTTCCCTAAAAGTCTTTATGAGAACATATGGCAAGCTTACATCTGCTTTTGCAGTTACGCTTTTCCTTTTTATTCTGACATTATTTCAATTCAAGGTTGAAACATCTATATTTCATTATGTGCAATGTTGTTAGATTTTACTGCAGCAACGCAGTGGTATAATAAACGAATTAACCTTCTTTTAGCTTTGAATGCAAACTTTTGATAAATTTACTGGTTTGCTTTTATAGCAGCACATGTAATATACAGTTATTTGGCTCATAAAACATTTTAAGAGGCTTTTTGTGCATTTTAAGTGATTTTCCAATATTATCCAATACAGCTTGTTAAAATGAATAGTGAAATAGTAAGCCTTAACTAGGACATTGTGAATGCGTCATTCGTGATTTTCTATCATTACAAAGATACAAAAAATAAGAATCTGGAGAATGTATTTTAAACTACTTAATTGCTTGAATGTATAGATATGAACTGCATTTAATATATCCTCCTGATCAGTGTTGGAAAAAAAAAGAAAAAAAAACCTACCAATTAAAAAAATCTCAAGACTGTACTTCAGTTGCAAATCTATACATTTTAATGAGTCTATGACTGAGAACCAAGTCTCTAGGGGAAACAACTAGAAAATATAAATGCAAAACATAGTTAGCATTGATTATTTAAATGAAGACTTCCTGCTTGGTAATTTAAATCATGATTAAAATTGACTTAAGTAAATCAATTGCCTAATTTTTGTGCGTTCTAAATGCCACAATTAGGGCTGTCTGCGCAACCTTCCTTCGTGAGGTCTTTCTCACACGTGCACTGCAGCGCAGTCTGTACCTCGCTCGCATACTTGGTCCAGAAGGATCACTGCGCCGTTGAGTAGAAGAGGGTGAGAATTTGGTATAGAAAGAGCTTGCATTGCAGACTGGGGTTGAGATTGCGGTGTTACACTCTGTACCTTGTGCTGTCCTCACCACTTGGTGGTGACGGTTGGTCAGATTTTCATAATGAACGTGCCTTCAAGGGCCAAGTGAAGATTGCAGGACCAGCTCCCGTTCTCTCACTGCACTCTGGAAGGTCTAACTCTCGTGTCTATGGCTTTGCGGTCTTAACATTCGTTTAACTTGCCTTTTGTGGTGCACAGTATGTGGATACACTACGGAGAAAAAGTCAAGCAACCACAGCACTGACAAATAGCAGATGTATAGTGATGCATTCGACAAGTCTTTCTATTGAATTGCAACATTCCAGCGTTGCATGATACTGCTGTGAGAGAGTAGTAGCAACCTGCCCTTCTCCCCCTCCCTTGCTTGCCAGGGATGCAGAGGTTTGTGTGTTCAAATGCAGCAATGTTTTCTATTGCTGGCGCAATGGGAATGATGTCCACACTTTCAAAAAGGCCAGGGATAAACAGAAATTCACCCTAGGGCCCTCAGAAGGGCTTGCTTTGTCTGCTCTTGGCTTTGCATTGCTTCTGGTCTCTCTCTCTCTCTCAACTAGAGCAGAGGCAATATGGAGGCTGGAGAAGGACAGATCGATGTTCTGTGCTGCCTGAAGTCAGTATGGGAGGATTTAAGTCTTTAATAGTTACTCAGGATACTACAGTCAGATTGGTGCCTTACGAGATGAACAAGGTAAAGCTTTTAGGGAAAGGCACCATTTTTTTATGAACACAACAGATACAAATGCAAAAAAAAAAAGAAAAAAAAACAGAAAAGCTTTCAGACAAACAAGTCTGTCTTCAGATGAGTAGTACTTGTTGTACAGTACAAATTTTAAATGAGGCAGCTAGTGATTAGTATGTTTTTTCCTCGAGTGGTCGTGTACTGATATGTGGATTGCTTTTTCTGATTTGTAGATTAGTCCATCACCAGCCAGCCAAAGCCTTCAGGGATTTTTCTTTTTTTAAGTAAATGTTTCAGGTATAACCATTTAGACTTTTTGTCGCCTTAAGTTTGGTACCAGTGTTGTTAAAATTAAATATAATTGTAAATGAGTTGTGAGGTGGTGCTAATGCCTAATACTTGATCAAATGAGACAATTGAAGTGTGTGCGCATGCATGGATGTATGCTTATCTTACACAAATTTTCAGTATTCTTCTTGATTTCTTTTGATCTCAAGATGTCCTTGTTTTTGCCTTTTGTCTTGTCGTACTAGTTTCTCCTGTACTGTGAAGGAACTCGTTTTACAGAGACCAAGCATCGTATCAGTATGGAGGTAGCTGAATCCAAGGGGTTGCCTAAACTGAAATACCACCTGCTGCCCAGAACCAAAGGTTTCACCACTGCTGTCCAGTGTCTCAGGGGAACAGGTACTGGCAAGCTGCTACTTGTTCTTTGCATTAACTGTAATGTGTTGTTTAGTATACTCTGTGTAGCACAGTGTGGTATACTCTATTGTTATATCTATTACATCGTTTACAATTAGTGAGTTGGCAGTAATAAGCATTCAGCATGTCAGCTGTCAATTTGTGCCACATAACTCTCAGATACATCTTAAAAAATAATAAACCTTTCATGTATGTCATTGTTGCTTAGTTCATCGAGTTGTCTTGTGTTTTGATAACACACATGCTACGTAGATGGGAGTGTCAGGTGGCTGATACAGATAAATACAACAGGTAAACACAAAGTAGTGAAGGACTCTGCTACCTGACATCATTAATGCAAGGCTTGCACGAGGCCCTGTTGCTGTCTAATGCAAGGATGCCGGCATGCTAGAATTGCTGATATAACAACCATATTTTCTTTTTTGTAACAGTTTCAGCAGTGTACGATGTAACACTAAATTTCAGAGGAAACAAGAACCCGTCTTTATTAGGAATTCTTTATGGAAAGAAATATGAAGCAGATATGTGTGTAAGGTGAGCATTTCATGATGGAGGTGAGCCCTAAGATGCACGCTTTGGCATGTTGAAGTGTATTCAGACGTTACAGGGTAATGTCCTTTGCTGTAGTCCCCTTCTCCTTGTCCTTCAGGCTTCTTTGCATGCTACAAAGACCTCCCTGTTTCCCCCTGCTTCAGTTTGCTTTCATGTGTGAGATCCCATGATATCACCCAGCAAGTCAGAAAGCACTGGGCAGACTTTTTAAGCCTGGGTATGACCACATTGTTGTTCCGGGTTTTCCCCAAGTTTTGTGCAGTTGAGGGCACTAGTCCACGTTTTTCCTTTCTCTGCTGGGAGCAGAAAACCAACTGTTCTGCCCCCTTCCCAGTCCCCTGCAAGCATATGCATGGTATAAATAGCCCGTCCAACATGAGTAGTCTCTTGTAGTAAACGGTGTAAAGCTCCTTACTGTGCCAGTTTCTCTCCTTCTCTCACATGGTTTGATTAGCAGATTAGAAGTTAAATAATGCTGAAATTCAGACATCGTATGAATGAGGTGGTACATTCCTCACATTGCTCATCACTTTTTTGCCTGAAAGAGTAACTGCTTACACCTGACTCCAGGCAGCACGTACACATGTGCATGCACACACACACACATGCTTTCTCTTTCTTGCTTTCTCCTTGTTGCCTTCTGCTTTAAAGGCTTCCTTGTGATCATAAAAACTACCAACTCTTTCCTGTTGAATTTCTTCTTTTTCCTTTTGTGTTTGGACCTGACAAACGACCTCATTGTTCTTTCCGCAGTTCTTTTGGCAGTTCACTTCTGCTCCTCTGAGAACTTCACCCACACTTTGGAAAACATTGCTACATTCTGGTGATGAGGTTGATGTTTGGTTTTTAAAACAAACAAACAAACAAAGCCTCGCTACTTCCCCCCCACCTTTCCCCTCCAGCCATGGGTCTGTGGATTGCAGATGTGTGGCACTGGCTCTATACGTTGTCCTTCTACAGGACAGGTGTGTCTTACCAGAGCCTCCAAGGGTGAAAGACTTTGTAGGGAATCACACTGATTATCCATTGCGTGAAGGTATAGCAGCAACAGTTTTGTGGAAGAAATGCTATCCCAGGGGAGGCAGAGTACTGCAGCCCTAATGGGGAAGGGCGCGCGTTCCAGTTCTGTTCTCAGATACTGCAACTTCCACAACATTTTAGTCTTTCAGCTGGAAAGAAGGCTTCAGAGGTGATGGGGAGAGAGATGGGGTCGCTCATTTGCAAGGGGTTTCATTTTGACTATTTGCACTTGCCAGACATATTCCTGATGAGGAAAGTGAGCAGACAACTTACCAGCTAGCAAAGCAGCTGGTCAGGCAGTTGCCACCTGTAATTCCATACTGACGGCTGATGCGTGTAGCATGTCTAGCTAGACCTGGAGTGCATATGTATGGATGTACATCTCTAATTATATATTGAAGAGCAGCTGCATTCAGTTAAATATCCTATGGCTTGCTAATGGAGATGCAAGTTAGTTTTATTTATTGGTGAGGTAGTGGGAGGAAAGAAGAGAAATGTAGTTTTCAATAGTCATTAGAAGAGGTTTGGGTTCATAAAATTCTGTTGAGGATGATGTTGCCAGATAAAATTACTAGCGCGACCCTATGTCGTGGTTTAACCTCAGTCGGCAACTGAGCACCACACAGCCGCTTGCTCACTGCCCCCCTGCCCTGGTGGGATGGGGGAGAGAATTAGAAGAGCACAAGTGAGAAAAACTCGTGGGTTGAGATAAAAACAGTTTAATAATTGAAATAAAATAATAATAATAATAATGTAATAATAATAATAATACACAAAGCAAGTGATGCACAGTGCAATTGCTCACCACCCGCCGACCAATGCCCAGCCAGTCCCCGAGCAGCGGCCCCCCCGGCCAGCTTCCCCCAGTTTATGTACTGAGCATGACGTCACATGGTATGGAATGTCCCTGGGGCCAGTTTGGGTCAGCTGTCCTGGCTGTGCCCCCTCCCGGCTTCTTGTGCACCTCCAGCCTTCTCAGTCGGCAGAGCATGGGAAGCTGGAAAGTCCTTGACTAGTGTAAGCACTGCTCAGCAACAACTAAAACATGGGTGTGTTATCAACATTGTTCTCATCCTAAATCCAAAACACAGCACTGTACCAGCTACTAGGAAGGAAATTAACTCTATCCCTGCCGAAACCAGGACATCCTATTAAAGAAACTAATGACTATGTTCAGATAATTTTGATTTAAAACATGTTTGTGGACTGAATCAACATTCTCAGGATGCTTTTCTACACTTGAAGCTTTTTCTCTGTTTTGAGGAGGAAGCTATGAGAATAAGGAAACTATTTTTACAGTTTTTTTTCTGAAAATTGAACGTGTCCTTAATATGCCAGCAGACTTAGCTCAGAGAAAGGAAGTGTGTAAGCTCTTGTTCTTGGTATATGCGTATGCAGTTACCTGTGCAGAGGTAAGAACCTTAGCTCTCTGCAAAGGATCCAGTCTTTCTCCTGACTGGCTCCAGAGAAAATAATCAGCTAAATGACCAAATGTTATTGCTGTGAGTACCCTCTAGTGGTGACAACTTTACTAGAGAGCTTTCAGGAAATGACTTTTTACTGAGCTTTTATTGAGCGTTATTTATATTAATTGAGCAGCTCCTGCTGTTAGAGCTAATGAAAGTAAATCTGTAAAATCTGGTGTTCAATTCATTTATGGGATGCAGAAATTATTAGAAATGTATTAGAATATCTTCCCTCTGCTGCTGCAGACTCGAAGGCTTTAGTTCATACTGCGGAAATACATTCCCCGGTTGGACAGCAGCAAATAAGTTGTATCTGGGATCACTGTGTCTAGAGCCCTCCCAGAGGTCACCCTTCTGTTCTTACTGCCCTGCTGTAAGAGGGCCCTGATACAGTCCAAGTGTTGCCAAAATACGTTCGAGCTGAGGGTTAAGGTGTGTGCCTGCCCTCTACAGACTGAGCAACTTCTTTCTGAATTGAAACAGGACTGAGATATGTGCCACTGAGAAAGGAGACGATACATTTGTGGGCATGTTAGTGGTCTATCTTGGAAAATAAAAGAATGCAGGAAAATGGTTGGCTCTTCACCACTAGAAAGAGGCTCTTAAAAGGTGCCTGTTCTTGGTGAGGTCAGGTCAGTACCTGGAGCTGGGCACGATTTTCACATGCACCCAGAACTGCATGCCTCAATCTGTAGGGCTGGAGAGGCAAGGAGAGAGAAGTGCAGTCGCTGTAGAAGAAGATGTTTTCCTTAGAGTTGGTACGAAGTGGATTTTTAACCACCCCTTCCATTCCTTCCAAAATGGGGTTTTCACTAACAAAATGTAACAGACAATTATCCTGGGGTTTGCCACTTGCTTGTCTTTTCCCAGCCCTGGATGCCTCAGTCTGAGCTCACTGGGAATCAACTGGTGGCAGTTCTGGTGAAGGAAGGAGAGTGTTTGAATGGGAAATGCTTGTTTTACTAATGTGCTCTGAAATCGATAGGAGCTTGTACAGTTTCTTTTGTCTTAGGAGTCTGAGTTTTAGGTGGGGAATCGGGTGTTATTTAACTCCCAGTTCTGTGCATTTAAGACCTCTGCCATCAGTGACAGTTATTACCTGTTAGCTTATGCCCTTCATTGAATGGAAGATCTTCCCTACCAGAGGTCTAAAGTCAACTACCTGGATTTTTCCTTAATTCTTTTTTTTTTTTTCCTTTTTTAATCTCTCTACTAAACTAGGAGATTTCCTCTGGAAGATATCCCTCAAGATGAAAAGGAAGCTGCAAACTGGCTTCATAAGCTTTACCAGGAAAAGGTAAACAGCTTTGCTTTCTTTTCTCTCTTTTGGGACTTTCACAGGGGTAGTGCATTAAGGCACTGAGTAATGCACACTCTTGCACTGGATGGAGAGAAGAGATGGAAATATTATGTATAATTTGGCAGCCATCCCTCAAACTACTGGAAGGAGCAGTACAGAAGAGGCCCTTGGCCGCAGAGGGCTGGCTAGTGAGTAGGTCTCAAATTGCCGGGAAGCACAATGGGATTCAGAGATATGCCTGAGTTGCGGAAGACTGATAGCAATCCACCATCTTCCATATTCTTCAGCTCTTGGGTCTCTGTCATACATTTCTAAAAGCTCCATTTTCCCTGTGGGTGTGTTTAGGCATTCAAGAAGAGTGATAACTGTATGTCAGGGACAGCCGGTCCTGGTTCTTCGCTGCAATTGTCCTTTGCTTTCATGTTTCTTCCACTGTCACTTTCCTTCTGCCTCCTGGTAATACCTCTGCAGTGGTGTGTGACATGGTACAGACAATTCCTGGGATCTGCTGCCAGGGACTGATGTAGCACGTGGCCAGCATGCCCTCAAACGGCTCAAAGCTTTTCCTTGTGTCTTTTCTTTTTTTTTACCTTAGATGGTTAATTTTTTGACCACAGATTTAACAGTTCTGTGGGGAGGAGGCAAGAACTGTAATTAATGTTGCCCAGCCCTAATTGGTGGATTGTTGAACTTGAAATGTGTATTTTTATTTTTGTGTTGCTTATCTTTGTGGGAAAACAGAGGAGCACAGAAACTTTAACTGTCTTGGGCTTTCTTCTGCTATGATAACCCATGCTGCAGCATTTCCAAGCTTATGCTTAGTCTGTATGTAGGCAGCAGATTGTTTGTAAGAAATAAGAAATAGCCAGACTTGAGCCATCCTTCGCAATGGCTTGGAAACCTTTACAGAACATTCTTACAAACTGAGGGAAGAATGTGGGCATGCTGCTCCTTTGAGTGATGTGTTTCATCATTGCATCTCTCCGCAGGCTTAGCTCAGGATGCAACTGCTCTGTTGAAGTCTTGGGGTTAAGGCTAGCACAGTGCTGTCTCTGCTTGTTAGCTTGTGCTTTGCCTTCCTCTTCTGGCTGTATATACAGCATTTTTCTGCTCTGCTTTGCTAAATCATGCTGACCTTTTTGGAAGTAAAAACGGGAAGAAAAAGCATCCCGCAAAGAGGCAGGTATTCTGAATTGGCCTCTGGCTTGACACTGCCCTAAATGCCTAAGCAATTAAGAGAGGAGATACTTGGTAGTGGAGAGGCTGATACGGTTTCAGTTTCTGATGGTGGCCAAGATTGCCTTCAAAGGGCTAATACGGTAGCCTTGGCAGTCAACAGAAATGCCTAAATAAATGACAGCAGATGGGAATGGATGCTGTGTACTCTTGACGGGTATTTACCACAGATACTGTCCTTCACTTTGTCCTGGAGTTGACTAGTCTTGGATTGCTTAGCGCAAACATTATGAACATGTTTTTTTCTATCTTCTCTTTCTCCCAGGATGCTTTGCAAGAGATGTATAATCAGGAAGGCATATTTCCTGGCCAGCAGTTTAAACCTCCTAGAAGACCGTGGACTCTCCTAAACTTTCTTTTTTGGGCCACCGTTCTCCTCTCTCCTCTCTTCACATTTGGCTTTGGAGTTTTTGCAAGTGGATCACCTCTCCTTATCCTTGCATTCCTGGGACTTGTTGGAGCAGGTAATAAAAGCAGAGAAGATGCTAAGCCCAGAGTGGCATGTAACAGGATCCATTACCTCCAATAAGTTCTGTGTATTAATATGAATGGGGCTTGCAGAAGAGTACTTGGAGCTCACTCTGTAGTCTTTATATTGTATAGCAATTTTATTATTTCAAAAGCTTTAATCCAGGCAGGCTTGCCTTCATATCTTAGGCAGTATCTATAGCGATCAATAGCAAGTGAGTCTTGTAGCCCATTATTATGGTGCCTGAAGGAGAAAATACTCTTACTGCACACCTTTTCTGTGAATTAAAAAAAAACCAACAAACACAAAACCAAACAAACATAAAAATCCCAACACACCCCCCTCCCAAACAAAAAACCCTAACACACACACACCCCCCCCCCCCAAAACTGAAACAGGGGGGGGGGGGGGAGGCTTCAG